TACCTCACACCATGCACAAAAACTACTCAAAATGGATCAAAGACTTAAATATAAAACTGAAAACAATAAAGATCATGGAAGAAAAAACAGACAATGCTAGGAGCCCTAATGCGTGGCATAAATACAATACGAACTGTAAGTAACAATGCACAAGCACCAGAAGAGAGACCAGATAAATGAGAGCTCCTAAAAATCAAACACTTACGCTCATCAAAAGACTTCACTAAAAGAGTAGAAAGACAACCTACAGACTAGGAAAAAAATTTTGGCTACAACAAATCTGATCAGTGTCTAATCTCTAAAATCTACAAGATACTGTAAAACCTCCACAACAAAAAGACAAATAAACCAATGAAAAAATGGGCAAAGAATATGAACAGGCACTTCACCAAAGAAGATATTCACGTGGCTAACAGACACATGAAGAAATGCTCACGATCATTAGCCATTAGAGAAATGCAGATCAAAACTACAATGAGATATCATTTCACCCCAACAAGTCTAGCATTAATCCAAAAAACACAAAATGATATGCTGGAGAGGTTGTGGAGAGACTGGAACACTCATACACCGTTGGTGGGAATGTAAAACAGTACAACCACTTTGGAAACTGATTTGGCACTTCCTTAAAAAGCTAAAAATGGTGTTGTATGAAAGAAGAGAAGGTTAGCACTCCCCTTGACAAGGATGGAAGAGGCCCTTGGGCCTTACAACATGCATACGGTTAAGGCATTGACATCTACTTTGTGGCATCTAACCACTGTTTTTTTTCATCTTAAGTGAGAATAACAGCAGAATTGGAAGAGCGCAGTCAATGTCACTGAACTGTGCATGTAGAAATCTTTGAAATGCTGTATCTTTGGTTATGTGTATTTTCACCAAAAAAAAAAAAAGTTGAGAAGTTAGAGGGTTGACATGTAGTGGGGTTGTTAACCATGATCATAGGGCAACAAGTGTACTAACTGTTTAATGAGAAACTATTTTGTTCTATAAAACATCTAAAGTGAGAATAGCAGAACAACTAGAAGAACGTAATCGTTGTCACTGAATTGTGCATGCAGAAATTTTTGAAATGGTGTATCTTTGGCTATGTATATTTTCACCAAAAAAAAAACAAAGGGTCAAGAAGGGAGAGTGTTGACATGTCATGGGGTTGTTAACCAATGTCATAAAACAATATGTGTACTGACTGTTTAATGAGAAACTATTTGTTCTGTAAACCTTCACCTAAAGTACAATTAAAAAAAAAAAAGAACTAAAGAAAAGCTTTAAACACAGAAGAAAACATTCTTTGATGGTTAGGAGGGTGGGGAGGGAGAGGGAGGGTTATTTACTAACCAGACAGTAGATAAGAATTATCTTAGGTGAAGGGAAGGACAGCACTCACTACAGGGGAGGTCAGCACAACTGGACTAAACCAAAGCTAAGAAGCTTCCTGAATACAATCAAACACTTTGAGGGACAGAGAAGCAGGGGTAGGGGTCTGGGGACCATGCTTTCAGGGGACATCTAGGTCAACTGGCATAACAAAGCTTATCAAGAAAATGTTCTGCATCCTACTTTGGTGAGTAGCATCTGAGGTCTTAAAAGCTTGCAAGCAGTCATCTAAGATGAATCAATTGGTCCCAACCACCTGGAGTAAAGAAGAATGAAGAACACCAAAGACACAAGGCAAGCAGTAGCCCAAGAGACAGAAAGGGCCACATAAACCAGAGACTTCATCAGCCTGAGACCAGAAGAACTAGATGGTGCCCGGCTACACCAATGACCGCCCTGACAGGGAACACAACAGAGAGTCCCTGATGGAGCAGGAGAAAGGTGGGGTGCAGAACTCAAATTCTAGTAAGAAGACCAGACTTAATGGTCTGACTGAGACTGGAGGAACCCCAGAAAACATGGCCCCTGGATTCTCTATCAGCCCAGAACTAAAACAATTTCCGAGGTCAACTCTTCAGACAGGGATTGGACTGGACTGTGGGACATAAAGTGATACCCGTGAGGAGTATGCGTCTTAGTTCAAGCAGATACGAGACTGAACGGGCAGCTTACGTCCAGACGAGAGATGGGAAGGCAGAGAGGGTTAGAAGCTGGTTGAATGGACATGGGGAATCAGGGGTAGAAAGGAGGAGTGTGCTGTCACAGTATCAGGAGAGCAATTAGAGTCATGTAACAGTGTATGTATAAATTTTTGTATGGGAAAAAATAAAAATGTAAAATAGCAACACGGAACTGTAAAAGAAAATGGAATAATGATGTCAAAATTCTGAGGGGAAGTTATTTCCAAACAAGATTCCATATCTAGGCTAACTCTTAAGTGTAAAGATGGTATAAAGAAATTTTTAGCTAAGCACAGTTGCAAAAACCTTACCTCCCATGCACACTCTCACAGGAAACTAAGGAAGGATATGCTTCACCAAAAAGAGGGAGCAAACCAATAAAAAGAAGGATGAGGGATCCTAGAAGACCCAGGATAAGACAGAAGTTAAGGAAATCTGCAGGATGATCAGCAAGAATCCCAGGATGTCAGATACACAGCAAGTACAAAGAACAACCAGTCCAGACTGGAGCAGGTCATAATGATCCTGGAGATATTTTCCAAGAAGATAAAACAGAGTAAATATCTGACATGTCTGACCACTCTGAAAGGAAATTTAGACAACTGGGAAAGAGTTTGGGCATAAAAGAATGATGTGTACGTAGAAAACAAAGTAAAAAGTAACTATTAACAAAGAGTTGTGCAAGAAAGGAAAAGTAATCGGAGTATGTCACATATACTATGTAAATAGTGTTTACATAGTCCTAATAAGGTAAACTTTACTCACAGTACACACCTATATAAGTGCTTTACAAATATTAACTCATTTAAGTTTCATAACAACCCTTTAAAGTACTATTGTTATCAGTTAAAAAATGGCTGGAGCAGTACAACTGCCAGAAATTCAAGCCAGATTCAGAAGAGGATGTGGAACAAGGGATATCATTGCTGATGTTAGATGGATCCTGGCTGAAAGGAGAGAATACCAGAAGGATGTTGACCTGTGATTTATTGACTATGCAAGAGCATTCAACTATGTGGATCGTAACGAATTATGGATAACATTATGAAGAATGGGCATTCCAAACCACTTAATTATGCTCATAAGGAACCTATACATAGACAAAGAGGCAGTCGTTTGAACAGAACAAGGGGATACTGTGTGGTTTAAAATCAGGAAAGGTGTGCATTATGGGTTTATTCTTTCACCATACTTATTCAATCTGTACGTTGAGCAAATAATCCAAGAATCTGGACTATGTGAAGAACGCGGCATCAGGACTTGAGGAAGACTCATTAACAACCTGCGACATGCAGATGATACAACCTTGCTTGCTAAAAGTGAAGAGGATTTGAAGCATTTACTGATGAAGATCAAAGACTACAGCCTTCAGTATCGATTACACCTCAACATAAAGAAAACAAAAATCCTCACAACTGGATCAATAAGCAACATCATGATAAATGGAGAAAAGACTGAAGTTGTCAAGGATTTCATTTTACTTGGATTCATAATCAACATCCATGGAAACAGCAGTCAAGAAATCAGACAACATATCATACTGGGCAAATCTGCTGCAAAAGACCTCTTTCAAGTGTTAAAAAGCGAAGATGTCACTTTGAGGACAAAGGTGAGCCTGATCCAAGCCACAGTATTTTCAACGGCCTCATATGCACGCGAAAGCTGGACAATGAATAAGGAAAACCGAAGAATTGATGCTTTTGAATTGGTGTTGTCAAAGACTACTGAATATACTATAAACTGCCAGAAGAACGAACAAATCTTTCCTTAGAAGCGAGGATGGGGAGACTTCATCTCACGTACTTTGGACATGTTATCAGGAGGGACTAGCCCCTGCAGAAGGACATCATGCTTCGTAAAGTAAAGGATCAGCGAAAAAGAGGAAGGCCCTCTAAGAGATGGACTGATGCAGTGGCTGCAACAATGGGCTCAAACATACCAACAATTCTGAGGACGGCGCAGGACCGGGCAATGTTTCCTTCTGTTGTACGTAGGTTCGCTATGAGTTGGAACCAACCTGATGGCACCTAACGACAATATTGTTATCCCTATTTTACAGGTGAGAAAACTGAGGTACAAAGAGGTGAAGTAACTTGCCCACTCAAACACTAAATATTGATTTAACAAAAATTATAACTGCATTGGGAGGAAAGGGGAATGAGGTGGAAGGAAGAGCTGAAAGGAAACCAAATTCTCAGTTCTCATAGTGGGAAATCAATAGATAACAGCTATTTAGATATGAAGGTTAAACACAAATAAACAGCTAAAGACGAAGAAAAAAGATTGCCTCTAAGGTTAAGCATAAAATGGTTTTGTCTATGGGTGGCAGTACACCAGGGGACTGTTTTGTTTTTTTAAATAATTTATTGAGATGAAATTCATATAATATAAAATTAACCACATTAAAGTGAACAATTTAGTGACATTTTGTACACTCACAATGTTGTGCACCCACCACCTCTATCTAGTTCCAAAACATTTCCATCGTACCAAAGTAAAATTCCTTACCCATTAAGCAGTTTCTCCCCACTGTCCCATTCCCCCAGTCCCTGGCAACAACCAATCTGTGTTCTTTCTCTATGGGTTAATCTATTCTAGATAGCTCATATATGGAATCATATACTACGTGACCTTTTGTATCTGGCTTCTTTCACTTAGCATGTTTCTGAGGTTCTTCCATGTTGTAGCGTGTATTAGTATTTCATTCCTTTTTATGACTGAAGAATATTCTATTACATATATATATCACAGTTTGCTTATGGAAAAGTAAATTCTAAGTAAAAGCTTTGGCTGTAGAGCTGAGGGATGTTTAGATTATCAATACTGCACACCATATTCGTAATAAAGTAACTGTAAACATGAATTCATGGTAAGCACTTTGTGAGCTCAATGTCTCTCCTGTGATTTGTCTGTCCCTAACTCCAATACAATCTTAAATTGTACCTATCAAAGCAAGATGTCCAGATTGTAAGGGGTATTACTTCCATTGTCCTTGACTCTCATTAGAAGACATCTGTGGCGTTCTGAACAGTTCTGGGCATGGGGCACATTTTAAGAAGGTCATTGACATACTAGGTTGACAATCAGTAGAGGGTCTGGTTATTCTGGTTATTCATGCCAAATGAGACCAGAACTGCACCGTGCCCTAAGTCAATCAGGAAAAGAAAGTTCCGATAAAACACAAATGTGAAAGACAAAAGCTAAAATGTAACTCTGCAATGAAGGCCAAATGTGCTTTTCAAAAAATAGTCTGCAGTGACCTCTAGAGATCTGATTTTAAAAATACAAACTGACTATATAAGGTGAAACATCATGTAATTAGAGAATTCTAGAGAGTATCTTGGCAACCATCTAGTACACGTGCTCATCTGAAATCTGAATAACCAAGATCCAGAGAGGGTACAGGTTTTCTCCAAGGTCACACTCAGGTCAATGGCAGAGCTGGAAGTAAGACCCAGTTCTCTGATTGATTTCCAGACCACCACACCACACTGCTTCTGAGCATCAGTCTAACATCATAGAGACAATGGTTTCCTTTTACACTCACTCTGTCTTTGTCATGCAGCATATCTGCATAGGATGACCTAAAAAAAAACAGAAAGACAGTCAGAAACTTCTGTTAACGACATATATCAACACCTGAGACTACTCACATATATAAATGCATTCCTAATCAGATGCAACACACCATTTAGGCCCATGATGGAACTATTTTAATAGACTTACAACTGTCATTCTCCAGTACTGCAAAACAATATCAGAGACAGATACTCATTTTCAGCAAAGAACCTCAGACCTAAAAACGTTCTGGTAGTTAACCCTGTCACAGCAATTCCACAGCCACTAGCATTCTGATCACTGTACCTTTTTCTCCTCAGGAATAAGTCAGGCTCGATTATAAACTTGCACATACTTGTACGTCGCAATAACTGCAGATGTAACACTAGGGAGCGGAACTACGGAAAGTGTATACCTGCCATATATACGAACAGCACCATGTCATCAGGAACATGATGTAGTTCATCAAACTAGAGTGTTAAAGGGGAGAGAGCTGTTTCTCTGTATTTTCTAGGTAGTAATTTACAAATTTGAAATACCGCTGGCAGGGTCAGGATGAGCCCCCACACTCTGCTAGCCCAGCCCAAAGATGTTTTCTGGGAGTTCCAGGTGAGAACTATCAGGGAAGCTGCATTTAAAATAAGCTCCCCAGAGATTCCCATGTGGACCTAAAGCTTCCCCTCTAGCCATTCCCTTCTGGTTCTCCTATTCCAGGATTCCCGGTTGAGTACACTTGCTTGTGGCAAACACCTGCCCTGATTGTCAGCACAGTGTGACAGCCTATGCCACACCCAGAATGAAGTCCAAGGTGTCTGCTTTGAGACCAAATGTCTCATCCTGCTGAAGCCAACTGGGAACAAACCTGCACGTACTACCTCGCAATCTCCTGGTGGTAGTCATAGTGCTCGTCCTCCTCCAGCCACTCCACAGACCCCGTGGTTGGATTGGCCCGCCCGCAGAAGACCTTCATGGTGCCACTTGGCTCCTCAGCATTACACAGAAAAGCAGCCTGGCCAGCTTGCTTCTATGGACAGTCTGGTTGTCAGAAACCTATTCACATCCTGATACCCAAAAATATAGGGAGAAAAAAGACAAGAAAAGGAAGGAAAAAAAATGAAGAAATTGACAAAAGTGTCAAAATCACTGAAAAAAAATAAATCAGTATTTTGATCTTTCCAGCAAGAGCTATTTGGTTTTATATTCAGCATGTAACATCAAAAACTACAATGCATCACCCACACATTACTGGCACTAATCAAAAAAACAGAAAATAACATGTTGGAGAGGTTGTGGGGAGATTGGAACCCTTATGTGCTGCTGATGGCAATGTAAAATGGTACAACCATGATGAAAAACGATATGGCTCCTCCTTAAAAAGCTAGAAACAGAAATACCATATGATTCAGCCATCCTACTCCTAGGAATATACCCTAGAGAAATAAGAGCTGTCACACGAACAGACATATGCACACTCAAGTTCATTCCAGCATTATTCACAATAGCAAAAAGATGGAAACAACCTAAGTGCCCATCAACATATGAATGGATAAACAAATTTGTTACATACACACGACGGACTACTACTCAACGATAAAGAACAATGATGAATCTTCAAAACATCTCACAACACGAATGAATCTGGAGTGCATTACGGTGAGTGAAATAAGTCACTCACAAAGGGACAAATACTGTATGAGACCACTGTTATAAAAACCCAAGAAAAGGTTTACACACAGAAAAAAACAATCTTTGATGCTTAGGAGGGAGGAGATGGGTGGGGAGGGGAAATCATTAACTAGATAATAGACAAGTATTAACTTTGGTGAAGGGAAAAGCAACACAAAACATAGGGGAAGTCAGTACAACTTGACGAAGGCAAAGTCACAGAAGCTTCATAACACATTTAAACACCATGAAGGACCGAGTTACTGGGGCTGAGAGCTGGGGACCATGGTCTTGGGGGACATCTAGGTCAACTGGCATAACACAGTTCATAAAGAAAATGTTCTACATCCTACTTTGGTGAGTAGCCTCTGGGGTCTTAAAAGCTTGCGAGCGGCCATCTAAGATACATCTACTGGCCCCATCTTGTCCAGCGCAAAGGAGAATGAAGAAAACCAAAGACACAAGGAAAGTATTCGTCGAAAGGGCTAACGGACCACACAAACCACAGCTTCCACCAGCCTGAGCCCAGAAGAACTAGATGGTGCCCAGCTACCACCACCAAACACTCTAACAAGGATCACAACAGAGGGTCCTGGACAGAGAGGGAGAAATATGTAGAACAAAATTCAAATTTACAAAAAAAGACCAGGCTTACTGGTCTGACAGAGACTGGAGGAACCCACGAGACTATGGTCCCCGGACACACTGCTAACTCAGAACTGAAGCCACTCCTGAAGTCCACCTTTCAGCCAAAGATTAGACAGACCTTTAAAAAAAAAAAAACAATAACACACGTAAGGAATGTGCTTCTTAGTTCAATCAAGTATACAAGACAAAATGGGCAACACCTGCCCAAAAGCAAAGACGAGAAGGTAGAAAGGGACAGAAAAACTAGACAAATGGACACGATGAATCTGGGGTATAAAGGGAAAGGGGGAAAGTGTTGACACATTGTGGGGATTGCAACCAATGTTACAAACAATTTACGCACAGATTTTTGAATGAAACTAATTTGTGCTGTAAACTTTCACCTAAGGCAAAATAAAATTTTTTCTAAAAAATCAAAACTACAATGCATAAATGTATAAAGCTGTCTGGGGGCTTCGGCAGTCCTCCATGATTCCAAAAGGGTCAAATGAGCCTCAAGGTGCGTCTGGGTGCAGCCCTCAGGTAAACGCAGGTGAGGAGGGAAAGTAAAGCAAGGAAAGAGTCAGGAGGAAAGGAGAACAAAAAGAGATGCAAGGTGGTGATAAAGGAGTGCCACCAATACTGCCAAAGTTTATAACATACTTTGTTTAGGGAAAAATACAAAGATAGACTAATTCAGAAAAACCTTCATCTAAATGAATAAATCACAGCTACACACAAACATGGATAATCTCCACAATATAACGTGGAGCATAAAAAACCAAATCACAGAATTCCATTACATAAAATTTAAATCCTGCAAAACAGAACAATATATGCCTCAGGGATCACACTAAGAACCATAGCAAGGGAATGAGGATAATGCTTACCTCTAAGAGGGAAAGGCAGGGGATAGAACCAAGGGCACCACACAGGGGACTTCAAAGATGTTATTGTTAGGTGCCACTAAGTCACTTCCAGCTCATAGCGACCCCATGGGACAGAGTACAACAGCCTCATTGGGTTTTCTAGGTTGTAATATTTACGATAGTAGATTGCCAGGTCTTTCTCCCACGGAGCCACTGGAGAGGTTCAAGGCTAGCAGCTAAGTGCTTAATCACTGTACCACTAGGGCTCCTTTCAAAAAGTAATGTTCTATTTCTTATATTGTGGGTACACAATTGTTCATGATATTGTCATTCTTTATGCCTCACATATATTTATGATTATTTTTACCTACTCAATATTTAATTAAAAAATAATTTTAAAAAACCCTTTTCACCTAAAAAAATCATTTGCTTCAAACAAATAAAATGTCACCAGATTCCTGCCTTGTATGGCCTGTTTCCCCAAAGGGATGCATTTCTGGGAGGCAAACAAACAGCTCAAAGTTTAAGGGCACATCTCAGCAGGTATGTACTCTCCCAGTGCCCTCCCCACCTCCAGTCAGAAAGCAGCAGGTGCTCCACATCCCACTTCATTTCTTGTTAACCACTGTACATTTTCAGGAAACCTTACAAAGAATGCCTACTCCATGGGTCTCTAAACATTCCTAAGGCATTTAACTGACCAGAAATGTTGACTTTCTTTTGAAGTTTCCTAGTCACAAACACAGACGAAGTAAACAGTGAATTCTTATACAAGAGGACGGGAAACAACCTTTTCTGAAAGGACCTGGGCAGTCACTGGCCTGGTTCAAAGTAGTCAATTTGTCCTTTGGTAAAATTCCACTTCTAAAAGTCCAGCATGTTTTGTGCTTCAGTAAAATTCCACTGCTAAAATTCTAGCATGTCTATCCTCTAGTCTAGTAGCGCTCAAACTTTCTGACAACCCCAGTAAGAAACATACTTTACACTGAGACTCAATACACACACAAATATAACTTGAAGTTTCACAAAACAATATTTAGCCTTCCTATGGGCAATGCTGATATTTTTCTATTTCACTTTTCTATTTTTAATTGCTGGTAGTGACCCACTAAATAGACTTGATAATTCACCAATGGGCTGCAATCTACAACCACTGAAAAGCACTGCTATAATCAGCTCTGTGTATCTCATGTACTAATATTAATAAAAAATGACAGAGTACCTAGACATTACCAGAATCTGCTAGGTGCTTTAGGAAACTGACCAACAAAAGGTGTAGTAGAATGAAATGACTACACCTGGCTGATTGGTCAGGGAGGGCTTAAAAGATGGGCAGGTAGGGTGAAGACACTTCACCAGATTAGAAAGGCTTAGACAGTCATGCACAATGAATAAATCAGTTTGGCTAAAGTGAAACTGAACAAGGAGTCAAACGCATCTGAGGGGTCCATATTGTAGAGTCCTCAAACCCTTATCCTGTAGTCCATGTGGAACCAATAAAAGTCATTTCAGAGTTAAGTGTAGTAAAGAACTTTAGTAAATGGAATTCTCTTCTTGTCTATTATGTTAATGAGGCGATAACTGGAGTACAGCGTCTGCCTTTTCAGAACCGCAGAGAAGTCACTGGTTTCATGTAAATCTAAATAAACACTTGAGAACAGAACCAGGTACCGTGTTACTAACAATTTTATGATTCAAAGAACCTCTTCTGGGTGAGCACTACACACCTTCTACAGCTAAATCCCCTCATCAATTATTATGACTTGTCCTCTCCCAGAAGGAGCCTACAATCCAGGTTCAGAAGATATTCTTTGGTCTGCCTCTTCGTTCTCCAAGAATTGTGTACTCACATGGTGATTTACAAAGAGGGCAAGGAAATGACTATTCGAAGCCCTGTTTGCACTGCTAGTTGGATTTCTGAGCAGATGTTTGGTTCATTCATTAAAAAGTTACTAAGTACCAAATATATGCCAGGCACTGTGTTATGTACAGGGGCAACCACCATAAACCAGACAGACAAGGTCTTGCCCTCTAAGAGTTTAGACTCTAATGGGGCAGAGAGAGTAAATATAAACAATTACAGTCTATATGAGTGCAAGAAAAGAAATACACAGGGTGCTATAAGAGAATGAGAAGCTTATAGGAGGATTCTGTGAGGTGCGTCGCATTTAAGTTGAGACGTACAAGACAAGCCAGGTTAAAAGTCAACGAAGAGTGGTGCTTGTATTTCCTTATGCCCATCTTTTCCAGGAAAAAGCCCTAAGGTATAAAGAACTAGGTGCATAAGCAGAAACTGCCAAACCGTGTGTGACTAAAGCACTTTGAGCAGAAGAAAGGGCAGATTAGAGGTGAGCTTCAGCAAATCACACAGGGTCTTGCTGGTTTCAGAAAGACGTTCGGATTTTAAGTGCAGTGGGAGTCACCCAGGGGTTTTAAGGAGAAGCAGGTCTATGTTGGGTGTATACTTTGACACGAGCGGGCTGGCTAGTGTGTGGTGAATAGATGGGCTTTCAACTACAACTCAGAACACAAAGACTGGGTAAGGCGAGACCATCAGCAGTTCCCTGAATCAGAGAACCGTGGCCCAGTTAGGGGTGCAATGGCTGGAGCTCCATACGATTGCGGTCCCGGTCTCTGCCGCGGAGGGGAGGTGCCAGGCATGAGTACGAGTATCTGATCCAGGTCCCCGAGGATCTGCTCTGCCATGGGCCCGTTGAGCAGCAACCATGCGGCTGGGCAGCACGGCTAGAGCTCTCCCGACGGCCAGGGCCCTCCAAGCCGCCCCACGCGGACTCTGGTAAAGTCCTAAAAGTCCCAAGAAGATGCGTACCCCGGCGTCCAAGGACGCCCACGCCAGGCCCCTCCGCGGGAGCCCTGGGGTTGCGGACAGGAAGCTAGATGCTCCCGAGACCCCACCTTCCCAACCTGCCCGGCGCCTCACCCGCCGCTGAACCTCCTCTGTTCATCTCTGCCACTACCGCCATCTTGCCGTAGCCGGCGTGCGGAGGCGGGGCCTACCTGCGTGCGCTGTGCAAGCCGGGGATTGGGGGGGGGCGGGGCGGCCCAGGGGACATAACTTGAAAACTCTCCCACATCACCCCGCGCGCTCCCATAGTGCTCCGCGGCAGCCGCTATGGAGGCCAGTAGGACAGCTGTGCTCCGGGTGAAGCGGAAGCGCGGTGCGGAGCCAGCCGAGGCGCTCGTCCTTGCCTGTAAGAGGCTGCGGAGCAGTACGGTCGAGTCAGCGACCCAGAGGACGTCCCCTGAGGGTCTGCCGAGAGCTGCGGAGAATAATGTCTTCCAGCTGGTGGCCACCGTGCGCTCCCAGGTATTAGGCAGGGGATGTAGCTGGTGGGGAAGGGGTCTTGGAGTGCAGACAGGATGAAACCCAATCCCTGATCCGTTCACGAACCCCTATTTATGTTATCTCCCTTCCCTGCCGTCCTCCAGAAGGAGCCTGTCCAGCCGCTCGTGCGGGCGGCCCTGCGCCGATCTGGAGGCAGCCAGCAGCGCATCCGCCGCAATCTCCGCGCGTTGGCCCGGGAGATCCGGCAAGAAGGCCGCTACCGGGTGGTCTCCAGCCACCGATCCTCGGGGACCCCCTTGGGCTGCCCGGAGTCCGAGGACGCTCCAGAGAACCCAGAAGGCGCCAGCGACGCAGGCTTCCAGCTCTTCGACCTAGTCCACGAGGAGGGGGACCCAGAGGCCACCGCCGCGGGTTCCTTCCAAGTGAGTACACGCCTGGAGGCGGGCGCTGGACTTCTCTGGAGGGATAGTGTTAGGAGTCTGGGCCCGAGAGCAGCACATGGTCAAGAGGCAGCACACGGCTTCACCTTAGGGATGGATGATCCATCTGGCATGATGGCCTCATAGATTTGATTATTCGTCCAACATGTATTTACTGAGCGCCCACTAAGTGCCAGGCATCGTTGTTAGGTTTTTGGATACAGCAGTGAACAAAATGGACAGAGATCCCTTTCCTGAGGATCTAACATTCAAGTAGAGGAGAGAGACGGTAAACAAGTAAATTCAGTTTCAGATGGTGATAAGGGATGTGGAGGAATAAAACAAAGCAAGAAAAAAGTGATGCTATTTCAAATAGTATGGTCAGGGAAGGACTCAGTAAAGACTTGAATAGGTGAGTGGCAGGGCATTGTAGATTATTATAGAGGACAGGCATGCTAGGCGAGGACATGCAAGTGCAAAGAAGCCGAGTTTGCCTGGTGTTCAGAAGGAGGTCATTGTGCCTGAAGCCCAGTGAGCTGCAGGATACTGGTAAGGGATTTTTGGGGAGGATGCCAGCTAGGTTTTGTAGGTACTTGTAAGGCCTTTCACCCTGACTGAGATGGGGAATCACTGGAGAGTTCTGAGCAAAGGGGAGAGAGAGAGAGCAGATGGGAAAACTGCTCAAAGGGAGGTTAAAGGACTCCTTCCTGGGTAGCATATCAAGCTTAAGGCAAAGTTAGGTCTAGAATGCAAGTCTTCTCACGTTTAATCCAGTGCTCTTTCCACTACATTACGTTTGAATGTGCTAACTTCGTTTTGTACCTCACTTTCAAAAAACAGGGAAACAGAGTCTACTTAAGACACCCAGTAAGACCACAGAAATAGAAAATTCTCAACCCTAGGTATGCCCCATTAATTTTTTTTTTAAAAACTCACTTCTTTTAATACTTTTTGAAGTTTGAAAAATGAAAATTTATTTCAAAATAAATCAGAGCAAGCATAAAATATCTAATCATGGTGCTAGTATACCTGGATGGCAATTTGGGCATGATGTCCATAGCCATATCTTTCATCAAAACTAATTCCAGACTGATTCATAAGTTACAAATTTTTAAAAGTAAACCAGTGTTTAGTAGACTCAAATCAACTAAATAGCTTATTTAGTTTTGTTAGAAAAACTAGTAGATAAACTGATAAAGGATATGAACAGATTTTACCAATGTAGCAATATAAACTGTAAACACAGAATATTTGCACAGAGTCATTGTTTTATGCCTACTAGACGAGCAGGAAAAGTAGTTGATAACACTGCTGGTAAGGCTGTGATTAAAATGGTACATGACTGTAGTGCTTAAATTGAGGCAAGTCTTTTGGAAAACAGCATGGATTTACATATCAGGAACCCTAAAAATAGCTTGGGGCCTATTTTAAAAATATATAAATGTTCTTTCTGTTGGTTGGACTCTAAAGCCATCTAAAAATCTAAAGAAATTTAAAATTAAACTAACATTTCTATGCCACATTATAGTGGATTTCTCCTTAAACTGACATGGTTTAAGTTTTAAGCAAATAGAGTATCATTTAATAGGAAACCTGCAAAATTAAAAACTTCAGTTCCTTTTATCTAGTAATCTCATCCACAAGATTTATCCTAGGAAATAATTCAGTGGGAGCAAACGTATTAACAAAAGCTACTGTTAGTTTACTAAGTACTTATTGTCAAGTGCTGTGCTAAGTGTTTTCTTTTAACTTGTTTAATGCTCACAAAACCCTACGAGGTAGACACTGTTATTCTCATGCAGGGAAGGACACATTCGTTGCAGCATTGTATATAGAGGCTAAACATTATGTCTAAGAAATTAATCTGTATAATTAACCATTAAATTGATAACCCTGAAGACTGACAATATGGGAAAATTCTTATATGTTTAACAGTACAAAATGCTGTATGCAGTATAATTGAAAATATGGAGAAACATACAAATGGACATAGACTTAAAAATAATTTTCCTTTTATGGAAAATATGTGTTCATTATAGGAAATCTGAAAATACAGCAAAGTAGAAAGTAAAATAAAAGGGGAAAAAATCACCCATTTTACCCCAACCCAGAGGTAGCTGGGGTAAAACTGGTTTATTTCCTTCTGAGTATATGATTCTGTGTCTGGCATTTTTCTGTATTACTAGTCTTTATAAGTATTTTAATGACTGCATAATTTGTAGGACTGAGGGCTGGGGGCTTATGTGATGGAGCCAGAACTTTCCTTGTGAACAGTTTTGAGGTTGGTCAAGAGCCTGTACAAAAACTGTCTCTTGTTCGTTTATGACTGTATAGCCAGAAAGAATTCCTTTTATCCTGTAATTGATGGACAGCCTTGGTCTCCCCTTGTCTGCCTTGGCCCTGGACACCCTCCACATCCCTTTGTGGTGTCTGGTTCAAGCTGGGCATCCTCCTGTGATGAACATGTCTAGAGGTCTCATCTATAGCATGTCCCCCTGGTTCTCAAACTGACCTGTGCTACCAAGGCCCTGGATAGCACAACCTGTCAGTATCTGGGCCAGTTCTAGCCTGGGGAAATCCATCTCAAGCTGTTCTTTCCCACAGAAGTTAGATTTATAGGTAAGTCCACTCCCTGTTTGTGAGTAAATGCACGGTGTCAGTGTAGGGCAAGCCAAGTGACAGGTGATAGCTGGTAGTGGTCACTAGAGTACAGGAATCACCCGTGGGCCCTCTATAGGAGGCCCCACAAAATGCAAACTCATTTGGGAATCAGCCATAGAGGCACTGCTGTGGGTTTAGGAGTCCCAAAGGAGCTCAGAGAAGGCCTTTTGAAGCAGGTCTGACTCAGAGCCTGGGGGCAAGCTCTACTGGCCCTCCCCTCTCAGGCTAGTCCTCCCATATGCTCTTTTGTGTCAGCCAAGCACGAAAGAGCAGGAGGCTGTCTTGTAAGTTTCTACCTCAAAAACAGAACTACACATTAATTTTACAGAGCTTCCTGTTTTTCTTTTTAATTTTATAGCTAACAAAGAAAAGACTGGTAGTACATGGGGATCAGAATTTTGAATCCAGCATAAAGAACTGTAGGGAGCTTTCCTTCACACTGCTCTTAGATTTCCTCCCCTTGGAATATTCCATTTTTGGGGTCATGCATATATCATTTGCTTTGTTTTCTTTACAGATGTCTGACCCAGATGTGATCCTCTGCAATTCCACCGAGTTGATCCGTGAGCGGTTGACCATCTCTGAGGAGGGACCAGGGGTCGGGCACCAAGAGGAAGAGAAGGATGGCGACTATGTGTATGACATCTACTACTTGCAGATGGCCACTCCAGTGTGGATTGAGAACATCCTCTCCGTGCAGCCTTACAGCCAGGAATGGGAGCTGGTAAGGGAGCCCATGAAGAGGGGGCATGAGGCAGCCTAAGCTGATTCTCCAGTCAGGGTGCCTGTCTCCCTGAGCTCCACTCTGACTGAGTGTTCTTAGTTCTTCTTGTCCTTGCTTAAAAGGAAAAATTTATTCTAAATGCCTTTTAGGAACCTAGGATTAGTGCAAGGAATTTTCGGAAAAACAGTCTACATGCTAATTTTTGCTTCTAATGATTCTTTTACAAGGTTTGCAACATCATGTTTATATCTACCCAATTTCAGGAGGAAAAAATGTGTGGGGACTTACAATAAAAGCCAAACCCAAACCAAAACTTCTTAACCTGAATAAGAAAAAACACTTTTTAAAAAACTGTATCTTAAAAACCGGGAAAACCTTAGATGAAAACTACCTTCCTGACATTTTTTAAAACAAATTCTAAAATGATTAATGACAAAAGTTAACTGTCATACTTGTCAGAGAAGTCCCTCACATAGCCACAGTCAGGCACCCACCTGGGACCACTGTAGAGCCCTTCCTCTGCCTTCCTGCACCCTCTCCTTGGGGTTTGGGTTCTGACCTTGGCATCATCCATAATCTGTAATTCCTTCTCCCACCTGGCTGCCCTTCAGGAGTTTGAAGATGGCTATCATTACCTGCTTAGAGCCATTGCTCCTCCCCACCCTGATGTGTTCCCTTCTGGTGGAGTTCAGCCTCTCCTACCAGGAATATGGTGCCTGGAGCTGAATTCTGAATTGGGTAGGACTACTACCTCCCCGTCATAGCCTACGACTACTATAGCCTTTTGTTCAACAGAATTCAAACTAACTCCTAGTATGCCTCCTTTTCACATAGCACACATAAATGACATCTCCCCAAGCTAGTCCGCTAGTAGCTTCCCCTAAAGAGCATAACCTTTATGTTTTGACTTAGGCTCTTGTTTGTGTTGAGATGTGCAGGTGAATGATGACCAACAACCTGAGGATGTTTATGAAGATGAAGATGACGAGAACAGTGAGAATAACTGGCGAAATGAGTATCCAGAGGAGGACAGCAGTGATGAAGAGGAAGATTCCATAGGTGGGGGGCAGCCCCAGATGGGGAGGGACTGGTGAGATCCCAGGCTGAGGTGTGAGCACAGCTGATAGACACATCTTGACTAGCGTTCCTTCTCTGTCATGCAGCACCAACAGCTGGACCATATGCCACTGGAGCTTTAAGAGACCCAAGAACCAGTGTTTGCAGGGGGAATGCTGGGGGCCTAATGTCATTCAGGCCTAGGTTCAAATCTTTAGTTCTGTCACTGCCTAGCTATGGGTCTCAGACAAGTTACTTCACCTCACTGAGCCTCAGTTTCTTCATCCAGAAAATCAGAGAATATTGCACTAACTTAATGGTTGGGAGTAAGTGAAACATCTAGCTCAGTGTCCCTTTCCCTATTCAGTTAAGAAAGTACTAAGTAGACTTGAAGAGAAAGGTTCAGCTGGTCAATTTGTGATCACAGGTACACAATGAACCAGGTATAGGAGTGGGCCCAGGGTTTTCACAAGTCAGTTATTCAGCCTCAAGTAGTTGCTGCATTTATGACCATTTGGAGAAAGATGCAACACAGACATGGTACCTAGGGGAAGAGGAAGGATACTTGGGTAACACAGTCCTTTTGATGACTCTAAGTGCCAGCAAAAAGAATTTCTTGGTGTCTGATGACAGGAATAGTTTAAAAAAAAAGGACTATTTTACTGAAGAGGTGTCTCATATGTTAACAGGAAAGGGCAACATACAAAATTATATTTACATTATGACTACAAATGTTATAACAAAGAAAAATCCTATACTGGAGTGGGGAAGAGTAACAAAATACTCCAATGTTAAGGGACTTTAGACGGTTGTTTTTTGTTTTTTAAATCTATTTACTAAATTTTCTTTATTGAACAAGTATTTTCTAATGGGGAACAAAAACCAGACCTTTGTGAGAAGGGAAGGGGCTCTCATGGTAGCCTAGAAAATAATACAGTGAGAGCCCACTCCTGATACCTCGTCCTAGGCTCTGATGAAGATGACGACCTCAGCGAAGAGGAAGGAGGCAGCAGCAGACTCCAGATGTGGAGCAAATACCCTTTGGATGTGCAGAAGGAGTTTGGCTATGACAGCTCCCTGGATTCAGACTGATGACCCTGTAGTAGCCATGAGGGCTCTGTGACTGCGTCAGCTGCCCTGGTGACATCCTCAGGGTTTCTAGTTAACGTGTAAGAGAAAAGTATATCCAACAGCACCATCCCTCCACAGTAAAGACTATGCCAAGGGAATGAGTTTTTTCTCCTAACAGTTGGGGCCCTTTGCCTCAATCGGAAGTGACCCCTGAGTCTAAAAAAATGCTGTAAAAATGAAGGTTCCTCTAGCTTCATGATCCAGGCATTTTGCCTGGTGAGTAGACATTTTCCCATTCTCCTACTCTGAAGCCAGTAAGGGAGGAGGGGCTCTTGACTATTTCATCAGCAGTAAGGTTCAGCTTTCCTGTATTGCCAGGCTACCTGTCTCCAGGAAAGCCTGTTCCTCTTGATACAGGGAGTCTGAAAGGGCTATAGTAGGCCCTTTGTAGCAGCACAGACTGAATAATAATGGCCATAAGATTAGAAAGAATCTACCTGAGTGTAGGAGGTTTTAGTTAACAACTGTCTACCTTCCTATTTCTAGGCTCTGGTAATGACTGTAAAGACTGCTATCTTTCTTGGGCAGTGGTGCCAAGGAACAGTGTATGTATAAATGTGATACTTTCTCTTTAGTAAAGACTGACTTTGAACTTGAGAGCAAGTAATTCCTTTTAAACCTTTAAAGCCTTCTCAACCCATCTTAGGTGTTTTCTCACTGTACCCTCCACCCCTCAAAATAAGGGAGTAAAGTAGGAGAAGTTTCTGAATTGACCTTTGACACTAAGGACTAAAGGCAAGTGAGGTAAAGGAAACACATCCTGAACTTGATTTTCCATTGAGAATTGCTCACTATTCACAGCACTCACCAAAAATAAACTATAGATAAGACCAATTTGTTACCAGAATTTGTATCTTCTGTAAGCAAACTTACTGCACAGCTGCCGTAACTCTGACTTGGCATTTTTTCTAATGTAACGCTACCCAATAGAACTTTCTGCAGTGATGAAAATGTTCTATATCTGCATTGTGCGATTGTAGCCACTAGCCACATGTGGCTGTTGAGCACTTGAAATTGATTAGTGTGATTGAGGAATTGAATTTTTTTAATTTTAATTTAACTAGCTACATGTGGCTAGTAGCTACTGCACTAGACAGTGCAAGACTAGGAAAACAAGACACAAAATCTTTGATGAAGGTGCCCCTTTTCCCTGGCAGTTTGTCTCAGACTCACTATTGTCTAAGGGTGAATGACAAGTGAGATGCCTTCTTCCCACCTATTCCTGTTAAGATTTCATAAGCATTCCTACTCTTCCATCCCACCTCCACCCATTCTTTTACTTGATGTCCATTTTGTACGTCTTTTTTTTTTTTTGCTTTCACAGAGAGAAATTTATTTTCTCACAGTCTAGTAGGCTAAAAGTAGGCCAAATTCAGGGCGTCAGCTCCAGGGAAGTCTTTGTCGGCTCTGTCTACTCTTTGTCGGCTCTGGAGGAAGGTGCTTGTCATCATCAGTCTTCCCCTGGACTAAAAGCTTCTCTGTGCAGGAACCTCGGGTCCGAAGGACGTGCTCTGCTCCTGGTGCTTGCTTCTTGGTGGTATGAGGTCCCCAACTCTGTTTGCTTCCCTTTCCTTTTATCTCTTGAGATAAAAGGTGGTACAGGCCACAGCCCAGGGAAGCTTCCTTTACATTGGATCAGGGATGTGACCTTAGTAAGGGTGTGATACAGTCCCACCCTAATCCTCTTTAACATAAAATCACAATCACAAAATGGAAGACAACCACACAATACTGGGAATCAGGGCCCAGCCAAATTGATACACACATTTTTGGGGGGATATAATTCAATCCATGACATTCCACCCTCTGGCCCCCAAAAAATTACATCCTTGCAACACATTTTGTACGTCTTTACCTGCGTTAGTTCCTATCTGCATGGAGTTGTTAACTTGCCAAAGTGAGATTTCTGTCTATACTTAGGCCCTACTATTGTGGCTCATTAAACCAACAAAGACTATTGTTTCCCATCCTAAGTATCTACAAAGGTACAGTTCAGTGTTGCAAGTAACAGCAATTTACGTATCTAATACCAGTCATCTCCTTAACTTAGTCTCCCGTAGGCATAGAAACAGAGGATTAAAAACCACTCTGTGCCATTCTAATTAAGTTTTGCCAACACTAAAGGGCTGACAACTTCATAAACATACTAGTGCAAAAGGGATTAGCACCCCAGGAGGTTTCCAAAGACAAAGACCTAGCAGAAATGAATTCCACCATAAAGTTTGAGTGCTGTAGGGAGTCTGGCTTCCCTCCCATAGAAGGGTTCCTGGGAGAAGTCTGTATGGAGTACAGAGGAAGAGGAGGCCTTACCATCCAGTAATGAGGGGGGCATGGCTCACTAAGCATGATGTAAGGCCATTGTTTCCCCCAAAAAGCCACTGGGGGGCAGCAAGTTCTGGAACTAGCTGGTTAATTACTTAGGTGGAGAAAGCTAAAGCCAGGGTCAGAGAGCCTCAAGACAAGGGCATTCTGCCTAAAAGGATTAGCTCCGGAGGATTCCTGGGACAGGTGCCAGGCTTGGCTCAGACAGAAATCGTGTTGACATAGTTTAGGCAAGTCAGTCTTTGCACAAGACTCCCTGTGGTCAGGAATTTGCTGTCCAAATCTCCAGTGACAGTAGGAATGTCCCCCCATGTTCTCACAGATGCATGCCCTGAATCCAAGACAGTTGTGGTCATGCACCCCTAAACTGTCTTTATTGAGCAAGTATATCACCAAGGTTGCTCCTTTGTGACTGGGGCCATTTTGATGGAGCATGGTCAGAAAAGGAGATTGCCTCATAATTCTTGTCTTTCCTGTTGACCGATTCCAAAACCTAAGGAAATGGGGCTTGCAAAGCTAGCAGGTTCTTCTAGGCCCAAGATGACAGTGTCTGGGTGCATCTCAGAACAGTTGTATGATCCACTGCAGTCATGGTGCTAACAAGGGAAGATCCATTAGGCCAAACTGCTACTCTGGCCTGACCTGGGTGCTGAAGCCCAGCCTGAGCACCAGAATGTGTTGCTTCCACTCACAATTTGGTGAAGAACCAGACTGAGGTTGAAGCAGATTTTTTCCCCGAGTCTTTGCTGATCTCCACAGGGAGAAAACAGAAGTCCCCACAAGTATCCAAGCTTCCTGAGACTGCAGCCTCATCAGACCTCAGGGGTGTGGGGAAGCAAGTAGGGGAGGAGTGTACTATGCCAATGACCCACATCAAGGAGGCTCAGGGTATAAACAAAGCTTGGTGCCAGGGACAGAAGAGGAGAAGGGTGCAGCCTGCTCTGAGGTTTCCAGGAAAAGCAAATGACAACTTGTAGCACCAGGGTGGGCTTGCTTGGGCCTGCACAGCAGTCCCTCACACTGATCCTTGCAGAAAGGAACAAGCTATTTGGTGGCTTGGGTCCATGAGATGTTCTCCAGGCCACTGACAGTTGAAAGATTCAAGTGATCCACCCAAATTCCAGAACAGTTTCCATCCTCTTAGAGTTCATACCAGAAACACTAAGATTTACCTACTATCAACTGAAAGACCTAAGATCTCAAATAAAATAAAGGATTATCCTTCAAAATAGCAGTATTATCAGACTTCTGACTCATGAATTTGTCCTTGCCGGACCTCAGCAAGGTGCTTATAACATGTGACTTGTCTATATACTAAAGTGTAACACGTACATGAGGAAAAAATCTTCAAAGTTCACTTTTGCAGGTAAGACTCAACAGAAGGCTGCTAAACAGCATAAATCTGTGGCCAGAGTCTGACCCACCACCACACACACACACACCTCTGAGGGCAGAGGGACTCGGCTTTGGGTTTTTAAGTACAATCAGACTGTTGCATCCTGTAGGTGAATGAACACCAATGCTTTGCTAGAATTGGTGTTCTGGATTAAATAATATCAATAAATAATGGAATATAGCTCTTTATCTGGGAAGGGCTTTGAGCCAGAGGAAGAAATGGTAGCATTTCAGCCCTCTAAAGTCAGGTGCTTGGACCTGGTAAGAGGAAAACTTTCCATAAAGCAGCCCTTTTATAGAGACTATCAAACTCAGAAATCACCAGCCACAGCTATTAACCTAGACTCCCTCTTCCCCTCAACGCAACTCCCCAAATAAGTTCTCATAAGAGCTGCACCTACAAACCAGGAACAAAACTGAAAGATTATTATACCTCTGCTCACCAATGCTCCACCCTCCCACCAAGTCCCCACCTCCAGTGTGGCCCCAGGCTCTGAGTCTCCTCCCATTCCTTACCAATGAGGAAGCCACCTGGGTAGGCCATCAGCCCTGAGCCCTTTACGTAAAGTGGGCAAAGAGGATCCTTTAGTTCAGGAAGTCCAGGCTCTGGTGTGGAGATAACTCCCTTTACCCCACAGGCCCCACACAGTCTTGACACCGGGACTTCAGCAGATGACCCACCGGTGGCCACCCATCTGAGCCTCAGGAAAAGTCACCTCTGGTCTCTAGTCAGTTTTCCTCTCAACCCTTCTCTCTTCAGTTACATCCAGCTCAGTCAGGACACAAAAGCAAAGCTTTTGGGTGACTCTGGTGATGGCCACTAAATGAAGATAGAGAAGCACAGGATTTAGCAAACTCACATGTAGCCACAGCCCTAATTTGAACACCACAAGGCTGACTTAAAATACGTCTGTGGCTCCCTCAAGTACCCTGTGCTAGGCTTTACCCTCACCTTCAACAAGCCTCACCATCCTGCATCCCGTGCCCACCCAGAGTCTCATGCATGATGCCTCATCTTCCCAAGTGGAGTGCACTTTCAGGAGTTAGTGTTTTAACCCCTAAATAGGACTCTAAAGTTAGAACTAAGGGACAATGTCAAAATCAAAAGGGAAGAGGCCATGAGGGGCAGTCAGGTCTCATGGCCTTCCCCAAATCACTAGTATGGGGAGAAATTGCTAGTTGCCACACCACCTCTGCACTCGAATGTGAAAACGTACACACACACACATACATATGGCCTATAAGGGATGGGGCAAAGAGAAGCTCACCCAGGACATTCCGAATAAAGAGTGGCCTCCGGGACTCTGGCAGGTAAACGCCCAAAAAGTAGACAGGGACCCCAGAGAGGGCAATCCCAATGCCAATGAGGGAATTGATGGTGTCACTGAAGAGTGGTACAATCACCAGAAAAATGGAGCATAAGCAGAACACGATGGGAAAAAACAGGCTCAGCTGAAATGAAGACGTTAAGATATTAGATAAGGAGAGATGGGGGAATGGGGCATGGGCAAGAAGGTACCTTGAGGAAAGGATGCGCCCCTCCTAGTCTGCTCAGAGCTGCTGACCTTGAGAGGCCGAGGCCGCTCGGGCTCCTTCCAGCGAAGGTAGAGCTGGCCAGCGACAGACAGACCCACGAAGAACCAGTAGCTGAAGCTGAAGTAGTTGATGAGAAGGAAAACATCCTCCACAGTGAGGTAGATGAGTGCCATGGTGCACTGTAGGAGGGCAGGGAGGAAGTGGGCACCATTACCATCCAGCAGTCAACACCAGGTCTACTGACTGCGGATTTTGCTTCACCAGATTATCTCAGGTTATTTTCAGTGGCCCCTTGGCATCAGACAGATCTACCCTCTGCATCAACCTTCAACATAGCATCTCTCCCTCTTATGTTGGGGGCCCTTCCTACACTCAATGCCTCCCTTCTTATTGCAAGCACTCAATATCAAGCCAGACTCCTTTCCTCTTCTGATTTCAGACAGTGAGGCCCCCCTCAACCTCCGCATGAATCACACTGTGCCTTAGAGAGGTTCTTAGAGGTGGGTGCCAACCACCTGGCATACAAATGTGGGGAACTGCCATAAGACCATTTCACAGTCCTAGGGCCTTAAAAATGCAGAACAGCAAAATGGATCCATAACCCTCAGGAGAGAGGTGTGATAGAATGGGCCCTCTGGAAAAAGACTCCTAGAGGACAGGTGAGGGACTAGAGTCCTACAAGGTCATATTAGCTAAACTTCAAGAATGTAGAATGCCTCCCACCTATCTTTTCACTCCAGATTATCAACAAAGGATTTAAACAAAAAGCTCATTCTGGGAAGAGAAGACAGGACTCTGTACTGAGAGGAGCAAGTGGGGTAGAAGATAGCCAACTTAAAGACATGATGTTAGATCTCCCCTAAATTTATAAATTCAGTGTTGTCCCAATCAAAATATTGAGAGGATTTTTCTATCATTTTGACAAAGTGATACCAAAGTTCATCAAGACAGACAAACGCGAGAATGCCAGAAAAATTCTGGGGAGGGGGGAACTAAAGAGGTAGTGTCCTTAGTCCCTCTAGTTTTCAGATAAAGCTAAAATAAAGAAGCTTGGTACTGATGGTGAGGATTAATTGAGATGATAATACATTTCAGGGGCATACAACAGTA